CACCAGCTCTCTGGTTCATAAATACTATTTTTGTTTTTTTTTTGGGGGGGTGTCACACCCGGCGATGCATAGGGGTTACTCCTGCTCTGCACTCAGGAATTACTCCTGGCGGTGCTCAGGGGACTGACGATATAGGATACTGGGGATCGAACCCAGGAGGCCGCGTGCAAGGCAAACACCCTACCCACTGTGCTATGGCTCCAGCCCCTATTTTTGTTTTCTTTTGTTTGGGTTTGGTGTTGGTTCTCCAGGCCATACTTAGTGGTGCTCGGGGCTGCCCCCTGGCTCTGCATTCACGGATCACTCCTGGGAGTGCGAGGGAGACATGGGATGCTGAGGGGTGAACCTGGGTCAATCGCGTGCAAGGTAAGTGTCCCACCCACTGTGCTATCATCCTGGCCGACAAATACCGTTTTTTAAGAGAAGTGAGTAATCAAGGGACTGGACAACCTTTTGAATAGATGTTACTATTGATATGGGAATTAAGATAGAGATTAAACATATTGCTTTGGTGCTGGAACAGCATATGACTGAAATTCAATCATGAACAACTCTGTAACTGTATATCTCACTTGATTCACTTTTTTAAAAATTAATAAAAGTTAGGGCTGGAGCAATAGCACAGCAGGTAGGGTGTTTGCCTTGCACAGGGCGACCCAGGTTTGATTCCTTCGTCCCTCTCGGAGAGTCTGGCAAGCTACCGAAAGTATCCTGCCCACACAGCAGAGCCTGGCAAGCTCCCTGTGGCGTATTCGATATGCCAAAAACAGTAACAACAAGTTTCACAATGGAGACATTACCGGTGCCCACTTGAGCCAATCGATGAACAATGGGAGGACAGTGCTACAGTTCAAAAAAAATTAAAATATATATAATAAAGATATTGCTTTGACATGTGGAAAGCTGATTTCTTAATAACAGGATGTAATAGGGCTGAATTTAAAATATATATGCTTATAAATAACCCAAAGATCAGTATGTACTGTGAAGAGCCAAGTTGACAGACTCCAGACCCCAGGGCAGCAGGTAACTTGGACACAGGACAGTGGCCTTGGTACACCTGGGCAGGGGCTAAAGGACACACATCCTGGAGTGCACTCAAGGCTAAACCCACAGGCAACAAATCCTTTCAGGAGGAACAATGACTTTGGTCGGAGCATATATACTGCATTTGATCCCTGTGTTATTGGTGTCATAATGATTGTGGGCAGCTTTGTAATGCCGACTGGATAGTAGCAGGAATGTGGGGACTCTCAGGCAACTCAAACCCAGGCCACTGTCAGGCAGCAGGATGGTCCCCACCAGCCAATGCCACCCGTGCTGCCCCTTCCTGCTGGCGGACAGAGCAATAAACGGCTGGACTCTGGGGGTATGGGGGTGGGGGTGGGGGAAGGGCCAAGTGGAGAATTACATTAAATTCCTCCTGGCATGAAAACCCTTCATCAATGAGAATAAACACCAGGGCTTATTAGTTTGTAGCTGGAAATGTTACCCCAGGGAAACAATGCAGGCCCTTCTCGGGAGCGGTTTAGAGATGTAAAATATCATCCAGGAACTTAGACATAAGCACAGCCATGAGCAAGTTGAGGGCAGCAGCCGGGCCTGAGGGTGAGGACCAGGACAGGGGACCTTCCTCCTGCTGGCCCTCTGGGCAGTCCCCCAACGTGCACCTCTCTCCTGCTGGCATGAGACAGGTTGAAGCTGAACTTTACTGGGCAAGCAAACAATCTGCTGTCTCCTGAAATGCTCTCTGCTTCCAGGGAAGAGAGGAAAGCGTCCTGAGGATGTACTGGGGTAGACAGTGTCCTTTGGCTTCCACTTTCCTTTCCAGGGAAGGAAAGCGAGAGGAGTACTTCCTCGGAGCAGCCGAGACTCTGCACAGTGCCTTCTTCCTGAGACTGAAGCAGCAGGTCTCGGCCAGAACCACAACTGGACATGGGGGGCCCAGGCACGGGGAAAAAGGGAGCAGTGCTTCCGTCAGCTTAATCAGTGGCTGCATGAACAGCAGTACGCCTACATTGAAAAAAAAAGAAAAAAGAAAAAGGGAGCAGTGCCTGGGTCAGGAACTATTGAGAATTTGGAGCCAGAGTGACAGCACAGCGGGCAGGGTGCTTGCCTTGCCTGCAGCCAACCCAGGTTCGATCCCAGCATCCTATACCATCCCCCGAGCACTTCCAGGAGTGATCCCTGAGTGCAGAGCTAGGAGTAAGGCCTGAGCACTACCTGGTTTGCTCCAAACACCTAAACAAAAAAATAAAAAAATAAAAATAAAAAGCAATCATTCAGAATTTCAGAAAGTGCCGTGTAAAGCCAAACATGGGGCTCTTCTAATGGGAGGATCTCCGTACTGACCCGGTCACAGGGCCCTGAAGCCCTGACTGGGACAGTAACAGAGGTAGCAGTATAGACCAAAAAGGCAAGTTCATCTAAAACCCTACCTGCACTGACAACTTTTGATAGCTTTTGGTGCATAGCAGAGCCGACCTGCTACACATTTATGCATGGAAACATTTACCCAGATGACGCTTTCCATTGCAGAAATGGTATGCTAAACCATTCTCTGCTGCAGCTTTTTGGTTTGTTTTTACTTATTATATTCTGGAGAGCTTTCAAAAGACTCAGTAGGAAGGGACTAGAGATACAGTACAGCAGGTAAGGCACTTGCCTTCCACATGACAAGCCCAGGCTTGATCCACAGCACCCATACGGTCCTCTGAGTCGCACCCACCAAGTGACCCATAACGGAGAGCCAGGAATAAGCCCCCAGCACCACTAGGTACAGTCAACACAAAAACCAAAGTTAAAAAAAAAAAAGTAGGGATGAGAGAGTAAGTGCAGGGTTAAAGTGCATGCGACCTGGTGCAATCCTTGGCACCACCTTGTCCCCAGAGTGCTGCCAGGTGAAGCCCTGGGCACCTCCCAGTAGTCCCAGTAATCCCAGTCCTTCAGGGCCCAAGCAGCCCTACATCCTCAGGCTCTCCTGGAACTGCCAGCTCAGCTGGTCAAGAATCTCTGGGCCTGACCTGAGCACCACTTGGGAACCCCTCCACCCCTCTCAGAAAGCTAGGCCACACAAGGCCATTTCACCCCACTGAATACAGAACAGAGGGACCACATTCCATTTAACCAACGTTGGGTCTCATTCATGCTTCTGAAGGGTCCTTCATTTTTCATGATTAAAAGTGATGAGCACTTGGTGTGGATATGGGGAAAAAAAGAGATGCTCTTTCACTGCTGATGGGAATGTCGACTGGTCCAGCCTTTTTGGAAAACAATATGGACATTCCTTCAAAAACTAGAAATTGAGCTTCCATATGACCCTGCAATACCCTGCAATATGTTCTGGGAACATATCCCGGGGGTGCAAAAAAGCACAGTAGAAATGACATCTGCACCTATATGTTCATTGCAGCACTGTTCACAATAGCCAGAATCTGGAAACAACCCAAGTGCCAATAACAGACAACTGGTTAAAGAAACTTTATTGAATCTACACAATGGAATACTATGCAGCTGTTAGGAAAGATGAAGTTATGAAATTTGCTTATAAGTGGATGGACATGGGGAGTATCGTGCTAAGTGAGTAAGAATGAGAGGGACAGACACAGAAGGACTGCACTCATTTGTGGAATATAAAATAACATGAGACTGACATCCAAGGACAGTAGATACAAGGGCAAGGAATATTGCCCCATAGTTGGAGAGCTGTCTCATGAGCAGGGGGAGAAGGCAGCTGGAAAAGAGAAGGGATCACTAAGACAATGATGGTTGGAGGAAGTATTCGGGATGGGAGATGTGTGCTGAAAATAGATAAAGGACCAAACGTGAATAACTTCTCAGTATCTGTACTGCAAACCATAATGCCCAAAAGCAGAGAATGAGCATGGGAGAAGTTGTCGGTCATGGAGGCAGGGGGAGGGTGGGAAGGGGAGGCATACTGGGGATGTTGGGGGTGGAGAATGTGCATTGGTGGAGGGATGGGTGTTTGATCATTGTATGGCTGAAGCCCAAACATAAAAGCTTGTAACTGTATCTCACAGTGATTCAATTAAAAAAAAAAAGTGGTGAGCACTGCCCACCCATGGAGGGCTGGGAGACTCAATCAGGCCAAAGCGCTTCGGAGAACTCGGCAAGCGCTCAAGAGACGCTCGTGGGTTTTTATATCTTGTCCTGTGTAATGACTGAGCTCATTTATCTTCCTGACAGCAGAGTAAAGGAACTGTGTTTTCCTACACCCTTGCCAATTCTTTTATTTGGTCTGTCTGCTTCCTATTTTATTGTTCCTCTGGGCCTCCCAAGCAGTCAAACAATGCTCAGGGGGGCAGGGGGCGGGGGGTGGGGGGTAGGTGATGCGATACTGCCTGCACACCAGGGCTCATTCCAGCAGTGATACCAGGGGCCAGGCAACACTCCCCAAACTCGCACATACAAAGCAGACTTTGCTTCAGCCTTTGGAACTGTCTCCCAGACCCTTCACCAATTCTCTGTGGAGAGGAGAGGGAGCCTCCAAGCAGTGTTCCAGGGACCCAGGGCCTCTTCCAGAGACTCTCAGTGAACCAAGCCAATGGTGCAAGGCAAAGGCCCTGAAACTGGGTGCTGCGGTGGTCCTGCCGTGTCAGGATTTCCCACCCTTGCGTGTGCTTTTCAACTTTGCCTTTTGTATTTCCACTATAAATGGTTAGATCTTATTCTTCGACAGTTCTCTTACTGTATTTCTGGGAACATGTCCTCTGGGGAACATGTCCTCCCGTTGTTCATCGATTGGCTCGAGCGGGTCCAGTAACATCTCCATTGTGAGACTTCTTGTTACTGTGTTTGGCATATTGAATACTCTCAGTACCTTGCCAGGCTCTCCGAGAGGGGCGGAAGAATGTTTTTTGAATTTTAACTGAGCTCTGAGTTGGAGATAGCATGCCTTTGTCCTAAGAATAACAAGCATATTTTTATCCCCTCCCCCCCCCCAAAAAAAAAAGAAAAGAAAAGATTCATCTAGTATTTACCTCCAGTTCCAAGGACCTTCAGGAGCTCAAAATTTTCAATCCCCACCTTCTCTGCATGTCCTGTTAAATTAGCTAAAAAAAGAAAGAGAAAAAAACAAAATAATTAAGGGGATCAGCAACAGGAGGAGTTTTGTGGGGGTTTCCTTTCTTGACGAGGGAAAACCAGGAACCACTTAATAATTACATATTAAACTGTACAGTAACATGACATGCAGCTCTCTCTCTCTGCTATACACCACAGTACCATTCTTGTTTTTAGAAATTGGTGACTATATCTTATTTGTACCAAAAGTTAACACACAAATGAAGTATAAACAGAAGCTCTGCCGACCAATGCATCCTGAAAAGAAATACAAATTCTACCATGTTGACAGAGGTGTAGCGGAAAGGAAACTGGACCGATTTAGAAGATGTGTTCACTTACTCGACAAATATTTACTGAGCGTCTACTAAAAGCCACCCCCAGGTTCTAGGCTGGGATCCGCTCCCATTTCTGCTGCTAAACACTTGAATATGTTCTGCCTGCATTAATTACGCTGTGATTAACATAAGATGCTCGTGTCTCAGTTTTCCTCTGCCCAGAAAATCAAAGAGCTGCTCTCAAACTGTGAGATCTCTGCCAGTTCTAAAATGCCCCTAGGAGGACGTAAGAACAGAAGCGCTTCAACGATACAGTCGGTCCTAAATAAAATTAGCACGTTGTGCAAATGAGCGTGTTCCAAGATAAAGTCACCTGAATTCTGGGCCCATCCTAAGAGGCGTCATACAAGTGTTATACTTGGGGACAAGGTGCTTTCAGGGCGAAGACACTTTTCATTTCTTTTATCCTATTGGCAGCGCCAGAAATTGAACCCTGAGTTCACAGGCCCTGCAAGTGCCCCCACCCCCGCCACCAAGTTAACAAACTGCAATGGTTTTAAGAGTGAAGAATCCCCCAGACCCCAAGGGACTTACCGAAGCTGCACCACACACCCATAATAGGAAACTGTGCTTGTAAACCTTCAAACCCTGACACTGGATCTATTACTCTCGTTGGGCTACAGGTGGGGGAGGGGGGTCCCCTGAGTGGTGATCACGAGTGCCAGGAGCCACACTCCCTGTCACTCAGTCAACGATGCAAGGGCGCAGGTTGCGGTGCTGCTGGGCTCCTGTGGTGTCAAGGATGACCTGGGGTACCCCTGGCAGTGGGTGGGTGTCACCAACGCTGCATTTGGGGAAGCTCAGGGGACATGGTGCGGGAGATGGAAACACGGCCAGGCCCGCACAAGGTGGACACCTTCCGCCCCCACTCGCTCTCTGACCCTGATCCACTGGGTTTAAGGACTTACTGTGTATTGTGAACAAAAATGCTTTGTTGCGATGCTCTCCAAACACATTCTCCAATTCTGGGAGGATTTTTTTTTTTTTAAGTTTTTGGGTCACACCCAGTGATGCTCAGGAGTTACTCCTGCCTCTAGGAGTTAGTCCTGGCAGTGCTCGGGGGATCATATGTGATGCTGGGGATGGAAGCTGGTGGGCAGACCTGCCAGTGGTGCCGCATGAGCCCAGTAATGCTGGACCCCTAGGGTGGAGCCCCCCAGAGCTGCTCAGAGAGCTCAGCAGTGCTGAGGACTGATACTTCTGACCTCTCCCAGGGCCACTCCGAGATTTTCCTTTTCTTTAAACTGTTTATTTGCTTCTAAGCCACATCCAGTGCCGCCTGGAGGCTACTCCTGGGTCAGCGCTTATGGGCCACATCAGGACCTTTTGGTGAAAGGACATGGGGCTCCGGCACACTCGATTCCCTCTCCAGTTATTATTTTTTTTAACGTTTTTAAGTCACACCCAGCAATGCTTGGGGTTACTCCTGAGCACTCGGGAATTAGTCCTGACAGTTCTTGGGGGAATCATCCGGGATGTCGGGGATTGAACCCGAGTTGGGCACGTGGCAACACAAGCGCCCTCTCCACTGTACTCTCCTCCAGCCCCTACCTTTTCACTTTCACCATCATTTTTTTAGAAGATAAGTTCTTTAAAAATTGCTTTTCATGGGGGCTGCAGTGATAGCACAGCAGGTAGGGCATTTGCATTTCGATTCCCAGCATCCCATATGGTCCCCTGAGCACCGCCAGGAGTAACTCCTGAGTGCAGAGTCAGGAGTAACCCCCGTGCATCACCAGGTGTGACCCAAAAAGCAAAAAGCAAAAAAAAAAAAAGAATCTCGATTCTTACCTCACATTGTTTCTTGGGGTTGTGTGTGTTTTTTTTTTTTAGGTGGGGACCATACCTGGCTTGCTCAGGCCTTCACTACTGGCTGGGGGGGCAGGGCGGGGGGGACCAGAGAGAGTACTAGGGATTGAACTAGTGTTGACTAGATGCAAGCAAACACCCTATCTACCATCCTCTCTCTCCAGCTTTCTTCCTGTACATTGGGAAACTTAACCCCAAATGGACATGAACTTGAGTGAGAGAGCTAAAAATGAATTAATTATAGCGTAGGAGAGTGTGCGATGCTTCATAGGCAAATATTTCTTAAATAGAATCCAGAAAGTATATTATAAAAGAAAAAAAATTGGAGGTAGGTTTCAAAAAGTTTTCAAATGAAAAGCAATTTTGTTTTTTGCTATTTTTTGGGGGGTCACACCCAGGCATTGCACAGGGGTTACTCCTGGCTCTGCACTCAGAAATCACTCCTGGCGGTGCTCGGGGGGACCATATGGGATGCTGGGAATCAAACCCGGGTTGGCCGCGTGCAAGGCAAACGCCCTCTCCGCTGTGCTATCTCTCCAGCCCCGAGATCCATTTTTTATCTAATTGGTCAAGTGTCATTTGATCAGAACACCTAACTTTTCACCACTGTTTTGTGTGACTCCTGTATTATGTGTCTCTTCATCTCCCATCTCTGAGTTCTGTTATGGGCCAAATCTCTACCAGCCACAAACAGGTTCCTCGGTCACTGTTTTGATTACCCTAAGCTCAGGCAAGGCTGCGACCTTCATCTCTATCAAAAATGTCATGTTCAAGGACCGGAGCAATATTACAATGAGGAGTGTGTTCGCCTTCCATTCAGCTGACCTGTACTCGATCCCCTGAGCCCCCCAGGAGTGATCCCTTAATGCAGAGCCAAGAGTAAGCCCGGAGCACTGCTGGGTGTGCCCCCAAAACAAACAAACAAACAAAAAAAGAATGTCATGTTCCTCCTTATAAGTCTTAGAATTAGGTTTCCAGTTTCAGTATGCTAGGATTTTGATTGGTATGTTTAATCTATGTAATCTCATCAAAGGCCAAGATCCAGAGACTATAAAATAAAGATCCCGGAAGAGAGCGCCACAGAATCTCCTAGAGACACAAGTGATAAGAGGCCGCCCCAGATGCCTCCATCCCCCTCAGAGAGACCGGCAAGCTACCAAGGATATCCCGCCCACATGGAAAAGCCTGGCAAACTACCCGTGGCATATTCGATACGCCGAAAACAGTAACAATAACGGGCCTCATTCTCCTGACCCTGAAAGAGCCCCCAATATGTCACTGGGCTATGCTAGCACGTGACAGGAACGAATGGAGTCCTTACTGGGTCCCGCTTGAGCAAATCGATGAACAACAGGATGACAACAAGTGATACAAATGATGTTTAATCTAATGTTACTCTCTTAATTGTTAACTGTTGACTTGCATGTAGGGGCCAGAGAGCTAGCATAGGGGTAAGGCAGTGGCCTTGCATGTGGCCAACTCTGGTTCAATCCCCAGAGCACCGCCAGGTCCTCAGAGCACCACCGGGAATGATCCCTGAACACAGAGCCGGGAGAAAACCCTGAGCACATCAAGGTGTGGCCCCAAAACTAAAATAACATTAATAATTTAATGTAATTAACATTACATTATGTTTGTGCCTATCATCTGATTATTTGCTTTAGATTTGTCTTCTTTATTGTTTCCCATGGTCCTACTCTTCAAACTCTCAAAAAAAATCATTGCTTTTCATAATCTGATTCAATTTTCACATTGCTATTTTAGTTCTGCTCTTCTGCATTATTTGTATAGTTGTTGCACTAAAGATTTCTATATTTATTTCTATTCACAGTCCTCTTATAGTTAACATATAAAATACATAAACCTTGCAATCATCCTTTGTAGTAAAGTTGTTATGTATTATAAAGGGTTATAGACTACTTTTATGAAATTCACAACATCTTCTCTATCTTATAAATGTCACAAGAAATTTTGTTTAGATACGCTATATAAATCAGTACAGAGGAGAGATGCTTTTGCATTTATCATATATTTATCTTTTTCAAAAATGCGTTTAATATTTTGAGGCCACACCCAGAGGTTCTCAGGGCTTACTTCAGGCTCTGTGCTCAGGAATCACTGGTCAGAAGAACCATACAGGATGCCAGGGATCGAACCCCAGGTCAGCCACATGCAAGGCAAATGCCCTACTCACTGTGCTATCTCCCCAGCCCTATTTTAATCATTTTTAAATGCTCTAAGAATCCAAAGTTTAAGGTGTCATTTGGGGAAGAGGGGGGGGGTACTCCCAGGCTGTTCTCTGCCCGCTGAGCCAGGGTTCAATGCGGGGGGTGGGGGGTGCCACAAATACATAACCTACAGTCCTAGGTCACCTGGGCAACAGTGCTCAAGACCTTCAGGGCTGACCCAGCCGTGCTTGTGGGACCACCTGATGCCAGGTATCAAACCCAGGGTGGGGATGTCCCTGTACCTTAACTGCTGTACTATTCCCCAGCCCGACACTGGTAACACTTTAATGTAGCCTTGAAGAGCTTCATTTGACATTTCTTGTAGGACATTCTTCTTTGAGTTTTCTCTTATCTGGAGAGCAGTTTTTATTTAAGTTTTTTAGGCCACACCCAGCAATGCTCAGGGTCCTCCTGGGTCTACGCTCAGGAATTACTCCTGCTGAGCTCGGGGGAACCACATGGAGTGCCAGGGAGCAAACCGGGCTGGTGGCCTGTGAGGCAAACACCCTACCCACTGTATTAACTCTCCAGCCCTGGAAAGCATTTATTTTAAAACCATCTTCCCCCAACCCCCCCCCCAACGCCCCCACCCCCCGAGACACGAGAGACAGCTCA